CCCCCCCCCCCCCCCCCCCCCCCCCCCCGTATCCCATGTTCCCATGCAAACCGTAACACTAATTCATTCGAACGCAGGACGTAACCAGCACTTGGTGGTTTGCACGGGAGGGGGACCGGGGTTCATGGAGGCGGCCAACAAAGGGGCAAGCCGAGTGGAGGGGGCGAGGAACATGGGCATGGGCATTACGCTCCCCTTTGAGGAAGGCAAGCAATGGCCTTTTTTATCTGTCGTTTCGGTGCTTCGTTTTTTTGTGCTTCGGCACGTCGTTCGCCGGCGGTACCGAATGGTTATGTTTCGTCTCGCGCTTCCTTTTCACGATCACGTAGGACGAGGCTCGTCAGTACGTTTCATGTTCGGAACTCGCCACGCCAACAGAAACTGACAACAGAATCGCACAGACAAAAAACATGTATATATGGGTCGGTGGTCGGTCTGGCGGCGACCCGAACGGACGATTCGATTGTGCGGTGGAATCACCCAAAACCCGCAAACCATCACATCACATCACATCACAGGGCGCGCCCGCCCCCTCGTCCTACAACCGGCAGCTCCTGTGGTGCCCTTCCTCGGCTGGTTCCGACACCGCTAGCGTTCTTGCTTTTTTAGCCTCAATTCCTTTGCTCTTCGCCGTCGCAGTTGCCATGTTCCGCTGTTGCCGCCTTGCCTTGTCTAGAATGGAACACTTCGTGGCTCTAAGACTATATACTGGCTTGCCTTTGTTGGAGAGTGAACAACTTCGATCTGGTGCCGCAAAGATTAGTTTGACTTCCTCTTTGATGCCTCATTGCTTCGTCTCTACAGCAGTACCGCGAGAGACTTGTGGTGCATACCTTCTCATCTCATCTCCACCTACCGGTCTCTCCGCTTGAGCCTCCAGATTATTGCGTCGACAAAACAAGAATGCGCGCTTTCCATATTAGCCTCCCGCCAAAACCAAACACTGTATCTGCGAAGGCCACCTCAGACTGTCGTAGATTGTGACGTCAGATGACCTGTCGGAGATCTACCTTCTTCGGGGTGTTGCCACAGATAGAGTGAGTGTATGATGGACGCTGAACCTTGCTTCAACGCAAGGTTGCTCCCACCTGACACACAACACAACTATCCGTACTCTTGAGCCTCTCCACCAGAGGTTGAACTTGTCCACACGTGAACCTGGAGACATCAGCCTCATATATCAACAAATACAATACAAGTATATGTGATGAAGGCACGCACCGTTAAAACGCCAGTCTCTTCGGTATTGACCAACCCTCACACTCAACGCGTGTTACCTCTCAAACAACAACAACGACGATACAGGGCTCAACGAGTACGTCACTGAGGAGCTAGCGTTCGAATTCCACTACTTCTTCACAAGAAAGTTCTGGATGCTCTACCACTGCCAAGCGCTGGTGGTCGCCCCGGGGGGTTTCGGCACACTCGACGAGCTTTTCGAGGTACAGTATCCCGACACCGCAAGTGCTTCCGCAGGAGTTTTTGCACTTTCGTATTGTGGTCCGGGAGGAGGAAACCAACACAGCAGGGGTATGATAGTAACGCCATTTGGTGTTTCCATCGCGGGCCTTTCGATGGACGTTCTGGTAGACAGCGCCGCAAAGTAGGGTCCAGCGGACTATTTAGTCTATCGTCCCGCTCGGCCAGACTTTCGAGGCCCATTTTCATGCGGAGACATGAGAGAGAAACAAGATAGAGAGACAGAGAGAGAGAGAGATGAGAGCAAAAGGGGCGAAATCATGAGATGCATGTTGTATTGTATTGTATCCGACGATAGACGATAGACGGGAGACCCACGAAGCAAGCGGAGTTAATTAAGCCTATCGCACGTATGCAGAATGGTAGGAGGCGATCTTGCCAGGGAAGCATACAAATTTATCTTCAAGAAAAGTTGGTTGTGCAGGGCGCGACGGCTTGCCCTCTCTGGTTTGATTTTGTGACTGTCTAGAACCACTCCGTTATCACACATTTTCACCTGTAGATTTTGGCTCTTTCCGCGCTTGGAGCGTTGGACTCATGCCAGACCTGGCCTTCCGACCCTTATCCCGCCTCCTTACGTTTTTTTTGCTGAATTGGGCGTTACGGGTCCTTGGTGGCGTTTTGCGTGCTTCCACGGACGTGTTTCTAGTGACAATATTTTGCCATTGATCCTTTCTTGGTTCTCAACCGATCTTGGGAACAGCTCTCCTTTGAGCACACATGCACGGGTATCACACCCCCACCCCCCCGCTCATACCATATCCCTCCCCGCGTTTCTGGCGCACAGGTGCTGACCCTGAAGCAGACGGGCAAGGTGCAGAAGACTCTACCGGTCATTCTCTTCGGCAAGGACTACTGGGAGAAGATCATCAACTGGCAGGTGACCAATCATGTTTTCGCCGCCAACATGATATCTCAAGCGCTCGTGTAGAGGTTATCCATTCCCCACTTACTTGAGGAAATGCCTCGAGAGAAGTATCGCTCAAATCACGTGCACAACCCCAAAGAGTTCCAGCGGCCCTCAAAGATTCTTGCGTCTTGTCGTTAGGCAGCCGGTCAGCGAGGCGAGCGCTTTTGAAAGTGTTCGTTCTCTGTTGGTTTCTGTTGATATTGCCCATCCAACGAAACAATCCGCTTCAAGTAACATGTAGGCATCCGCCCGTTATGTTCAAGAAAGGTTTTCCAGGCGAAGCGTTCTTTGGGCGGTACGTATCAGGACAATCAGATTGGTATGGCATGAATGCATTTAATAATCACTCAAGATACAGAAAGTTTTTGGTTAAGGTTAACGTTGAGGCCAACACGAACGATACGCGCTTCCTTCGCGACACATCAATCTACAGGAAGGATTAGGATCCATCTTGGATGCGTAGACTAGATACACACTTTGGAATGCAAACAAAAACACACGTTACAATTGATTTTGCTTGGACGGCAGGCCCTAGTGGAGTTCGGCACCATTGCGCAGGAAGACGTGGACTCGCTTTTCTTCACGGACGACCCGCAAGAGGTGTGTTGTCGTCATTATCGCTGCTGCCCCTTGCATGCAGAAACTGCCTTCGGAACTGCAGTAGAAACCTCGTTTTGTGGACATCCCCCCCCTGCGTGACCCTGGCTGACGCGTCCAGACAAGTTGCCGAAAGGTGCAAAACTAACGTCCAAGTAAAATGCGACGACACAACAACGTGCTCATTGCCCTAACGGGGTGTTTGATATGACGCACGATCGATACAATTGTAGCGCCTCTAAGGCCACATCTACGAAATCACCCGGGAAAAAAACGTCCTTCATCGACCAGAGCTTCGTCGCGAACTCGCCTCTTTGGTTTTGGTTTTCGCTAGAAAGTTCATCTTTCTCCGGGAAATATCCTGGCGGAAACATGTTCTCGCTGTCAGACTCGCGTGCGCAGTTTTGTTGGTCGAGGAGCAACTTCATGAGGGCAGCGCCAAGGATGCGCCGGAGGAGAAAATAAATATTGCTGAAACTGTGATGGGGGCGATTCTGTGAAAGCGAATAACCTCAGGCCTTTGAAAAAACGATGAACGAAAGAAGGATAGCCTATGGTAGGACCACCTGTCTTACCCCGACACATGCCCATGAGCGCGGTTTTCTGGCATGCCTTTGTACTGAAATTTGATGCTGCTGCAGCGGTATGTTCAGCCCTCTCTTTTGTGTTCTCTCACTCGCTCCGTATCGTCTTTCCGTCCCACCCCTTATGTTCTTTGGTCATTTCCTGCGTGCGATAGGCTCTGGACTACTTGGTGGGGTGCCTTTCCAAGAGCGGGATCAACGGCAACGAGGAGCTGTGATAGCTGTGATTTCTCGCACTTGCCAAAGATAGGGGTCGGGTCTGTTCCAACGCGTCGGCGAGGTCCCTCAGGTCACGAGGAACCAATGGGAGGAGTGTTTTGAGGTCGGGAGGTTAGGGGAGGATACGTTAGCAAGTACGGAGAGGGTTTTACCGCGCTACGTCCACGCAGCACTCTCGGGAGACTAGGGGAGGATATGTTAGAAAGTACAGAGAACGTTTGGGCCATCGACAGAAACGCGGCCGACCCCATCGCGGCATCATTTCAGAACGGTCCCGATCAGGTTGTTAACGGTATCGACTGGCGTTGGCTGCAACGGATGGGTTGATCGCCACGCGCCAGGGCTGACAGAGGGACAGTTGCAGGGAGCTTTGGCGTAGTTCCAAGATATGTAAGCTGTCGATTGACGTCAGGTGGGAGTAGCCCGTTCGGGTGGCTTCGGCTAATTTCGTGGTTGGTTGCAATTGCGTCACCCGTTGTTGGTGCCTTCTTTTGATTTGTGTTGTTGATTGCAACAGATTCTCACATTTGTGGCTAGTGTTTATGGTAAGACCTTGTGGATACAGTGGTTTGCGATAGTTGTTGTTCCTCTTATCGGTTATGCGGTGCTAACGTTTTGTTGAAACGCTGATTTTCCGCGACACCGCTGGCTAGAATATACACGTGTTCTGTGTGCCGTTCTTGTCGGCACTTGAGTTTGGGCTCTTCGCCGCGAGGTTCTCGAGGTCGGAATTTGTTTCACCTCCAAGCATTCGCTTTTCGCTGGCATGCGGCAAATGGGTCGAAAGAGGTTGTCTGGGTTGGTTGCCCTTGTGGTCCCTCGGACGAAGTGCGTGCGAAAGCACGGCAGCATGCGCTCCGTTTTCTGGCGACGTACCGTGTAATGATGTACGCCCTCCGTGACTGACTCAGATGCACACGTGGCGGCGACGAAAAGTAAACGGAACGTCGTCCGGCGCGCTCAAGATACATTCCTCGTGCGTTTAATTGTTTAGCATCCATCTACCGCGGTAATCAATGAAAATACGTTATTTTGTCCTAGCGAGGAAGTAGACCCAAGGCACCCTTCGTTATGCGGACTCACTGCCACCGGCAGGAGGGCCAGGAGGTTGGACGACAAGGTCCAGCCTCATTAACGCGGAATAGCTACTGCACACGAGAAGACCCAACGCCACTACGACCATCCCGCGGTATCCCCTCCTCTCGTGATAACGCGTGTGTGTTTCCGGCAGCAGTAGCTCGAGGCGTGAAGTAAGTGTGCACGACCGGCACAAATCACACCGGACACCCAGGCGAGAGCCTCGGCGGCTGTGTATCTCGCTGTCTGTGTCTCGCTCAGTAGTGGAGTCCCGTCCTCTCTCGAGTCGGATGCATCAGCACACACATCGGCCGCGCCGCCTCTCGTCACGCGCGTAAGTTCACGAAAGCGGTTGTTGAGCATGACATTCTAGCGGGTTCTTTGCACAGTCAACAATGCCTCACGGCGGCCTTTTGGGTAGAGGGGCATGGATCTGACTTTGACGGGAAACACGGCGCACCACGCCTCACTCAGATGCCGGGTGGCCAGTTGTGAGGTCTCCAAAGAGGGCAAGCGTTTAAAAAAAAGAAAGTTACGACTACAAGGTGACTCCAGCGTCACGGCCTCGCGCCGTCATGACAGACGGACAGCCTCTCTCTGTCTCTCACATGACCACCTCAAAAAACACAAAAATCAATCCACAAACGAGACGCCCCTCGTGCCATGCATCATTCGTACGCAGTTGGTCGGTTTCAAACAATAGACAGACCCGCTTGAAACGCTAGTGAACAACACGAACAAAAACTACCCGTGCGCTTCCCAAGTCACGAGCTGTTCCCAGGTCATCCCCACGGCGTTACTCGCGATCTCCTGGCCCCGCCTGCCCGTGACGACGAGTCGGGGCACCGAGTTGACTCCCTTGCTTGACGCGAAGTCTTCCCGGAAAGGGTGGTCGTATGGGACGGCCGGCCAGGGCATGCCGGCGTGGTACCTGTGTTTCCATCACAATAGTTTACGTCTTCGTTTACAGATTGCAATCGTCCGCGGTCCAAATAAAAAACAAATTGTGTGCATCAGTCGCCCCGGGTGGTCTCCAGGTATTCTCGAAGCCTTCAGATGGACAGGTCGTGGATTCAAACCCTGTTTCGAGAGCGCTTGTTCCTGAATAGACTATACGTGGAGATCTACGTAATTGTTGACGAGGGAGAGAGGCAATGCTGGCCTCCCCGCGACAAGGCGAACACTGCAGAAAGAAGGCGGGGTTCAGTAGAAAAACCCCCCCTTGTGTGACTCCTCCCGCTGTGCCAGAGTGAGTGATGAAGGAGAGATGACCGACTCGTGCTGAAAGCACAGGTGAGGTGAGTTATGACTGCCAATCGAAACGAATGAGTGACTTTTTTCTCTGGTCTGGTCTGGTCGCATGGCAACACGGGGAAACCCGCAAGCGATTCGTCGTCGTGTCAAGTCAGGCGGGGCTCTCTTGTGTAGGGTTGTTCTCCGTGTCACTGACAGCTCGCTGTGCTGAACGCCGTATTCACTGCTGCTTCTGCTGCTGCTGGCAACAAAAGGTAGGAGGTTGCGAGCTTAGTGGTCGCGGTCATCACGTGTTTAGGGGGGGGGGAAACACCGCGATACACCCAACTTCTCTGGCCTACCCCGGGGTGAGAGACAAAATGGGGTGGGCGGGATGACTACTCCAATCTACTATGAAACCATGGCACAACACCACGTACCCGTATTATTGCACGCAAAATAAACTGTTGTGAAATGCGATTCGGAATGACAACGGGTCAGACGGGCCATCCCTAGCAGTCTAGACCGTACCTGTCCATGGACTCCTCGTCCCCGTCTAGGCTGACAAATACCACCTCGAACGCCTTGTGCTGGGCCTTGGCCCGGGTGTACAGGGCCGCTAACTGCGGAGTGTACTTTCGGCATGGGCTTTGAAACCATCATGGCGATGATGGTGATGATGATGAGGATGCACGGGAGCACAGGTGTATGAACGTGGGTGTGCGTGGATTAGATGGCACGGGTGAGTTAGGGCATCAGCGTATCGATGGATGCACCGTGGCTTCGTTGTCGTTGGTACACACCTGTGGCAACTCATTAACACGAAGGCGCTACACGTGATCACAAAAACAGCAGGCGTCGACAACGCGCCACCCGAAAGGACAAAAAATGTACGTTTGCAACGGCAACCTCGGCGTCGCCACCGGAGTATCCTCCAAGCAGATAATGCCGTGGATGGTGCACTTGCGCACAGTTGTTCACGGCGATCACGGGTACGCGCGGTTGAATTGAGGGAAGGGCGTACTGTACAAGATAAAACGGGAATGATTGTAGCTTGAGATGAATGTTTCGAGGCAAGGGCTAGAACCGAAATGAAGCCAGAAATCATACATCCCCACCATCTACGGAGATTGGCTCACCCACACCACGAGGCGGAAAAGTAGAAGGCTGATGGCGAGGGTGCCATCGAGCAGATTCCAGAACAGCACACAGCAGTACCACAGCAGTCAGCAGGTTGGCGTGTGCGAGAGATACCAGGGTTAGCCACACGCAAGAACAATAGCCCACTCAAGGTCGTTCTACTACCCTATAAACGAGTGGAAACGATACCGCATCGAGCCATGAACATCCAGCGTTTGGAGCGAATACCAGCGCGAACGACACAACCAGGGGCGAGCACATACCGTAACATGGAAGTATCTTTCAGAGGGCGATCTGAGAGGGTGGCTGGAGCGACGTAGCCAAACACAAGACACCGTCTTAACCCCCTTTCCCACCTCCGTGCAGGGGACCCCCATCACTAAACATTTCTCCTACAACTCGCCCCAACCGTATGGCAGCAGCAACCTATTGCTGCTGGCTGGCTCACCTACAATCTTCCCGGCGAGAATGTCTCTGCTCACGACCGCCTTCCCTCTCCCCACCAACTCCGCCGGCGCTTGAGACCGCAAGAAGGCGTTCAGCACCGCCGGGGAGGCGAGATCCGACGAAGGGGACCACCCCCATCCACCCCTTCCCTCTTGCGTGCCGCCGCCGAACACGGGCCGGAGTCGAAACCGGTACTGCTTGGAGCCCTCTAGGCCTGTGCGGTCGGTCCACCGCCGTGAGGAACGAACGGGAAGCGAAGGAAAATTGCGATCTTTTTTATGATTCTACGACTTGGTTTCATCCAATACTATTGGCTTGATTTGGATTTGCACGATTTCGCTCTAGTATTGAATACGGTAGTTTGGCGTTGAAGGAAGCCACACCTGCCCGGCAAGGATACCTCAGCTGGCCGGGATAGGGTAGCCAGGTTTCAAGGGGTTGCGGAAAGGGCCGACTCAATTTGGTAAGTACCGTACCTTTCTTCCTGAGGAGGGTAGATCCGAACGAGGCCGTGAGCGTGCACCATTCGCTCCCCGACGTGCTCATCTGAATCTCGTAACCGCTTGCAGATGGAACTGCTGGCCACTCCATCTGCTCAAGACGACGGCACGCCAAGCGAAGGAGTGGTCATGACGTCACGACACAGGCAAGCATCCGACACCGCAGCAGCCTGCCCATCTCACTCCGACACGGAATGCAAATGCTCGTACGCCCTCTCTTGTTACATTCGCAGCAAATTCGTGATAAAAAAATCCAGTCTCGTCTCTGTGTCATGAGAAAAACCAAACAGCTGAAACATCCGCCAGCATTACGCGCGTATCAAGGCCGTACACCACTGTTCCTTCCTTCCTTCACCTTAACCTCTCACCACAAGAGCACCGGCCTCACGCAGCTTGACCGCCGGAGCGCTTGGCTGCATTTCCCCCTCCGAGAGCGTTCGGAACGGCTCGGAAGTCTTTGACCATGGCCCCCACTCCTCCTCCTCCTTCCAAAGTTTACACACACACGTACGCACAAGGAGCAGAATATCGGGCTATGAGACTTCCCAGCTGAGGTACGTAATATGTACGTACGTTGGTCACGGTGCTCACGGGGGAGGGGTAGAGATCTTGAATACCGATGAAACATCATTGCCACGATCCGCACACTTGTGGTAAGTTCCCGGGATTCCAACAATGGCCTATACTATTATTACGCCACACCAAAAGTCTTCTATCGTACGCAACAATCAATTGAGTAGTAGGTTAAGGGGACATGTCACGCAGCTTTTTTCTTTTCGACTTGACCAAGCGGTTCAAACGTTAAAAACGCCCCGTGAAGCATCTTCAAAGACTTGAAAGCGTTTTTTTCACGGAACTGGGTCGTGTGTTACTCTGTCGTAGCATCCAACCACAAAGACACAAAATCGTGTCCCGCTCAACACGCAGGCTTCGCCGCGCTAAATAGTGCGGCATCAGAGCAAAGCCAAGGTCCAATCAGGCAAGGCGTCCCTGCGTGTAGCGGTCTCAGTATGGCAAAAAAAAGAAGAAGCACAAACACGCGGTCAATGCTAACAACAAAAAGAGACGCTTACGCAAACACCTGCTTTCTCGCCCTCCGTCGAAACACGTACTCCGTCCCGGGGGCGAGCTTCTTCTTCCTCAGGGCGCTGGACCCCAGCGATTTGGACAGCGTCACCCAGTCGCCTTCGTCGCCTTCCTCGCCGAGGCCGCCGCCGCCGCCGCCGCCGCCGCCGGAGCCGCTGCTCGGCGCCACCTCGTTGCCCACTTCACTCCCATCCTTTACCTCTTGCTGTTGCCGTTGTTGGTCATTGGCGGGCGTGGTTTTCATTTTCATTTGCACTTCCTCGACGGAGACGTCGGGTCCGCGCTCCCAGCACAGGGTGATGGCTTGGTCCGTGGCGTCCAGGAGGAGGAAGGTCGCCATCGAGACGTGCGCCGTAACTCGAGTAGGTATGTGCACCGAGTCGTTGCGCGTACACGCGGCGGTTTCTGGTCGGAAAAATGATGATGACGAGTTCCCCTGCTGTGAGGAAAACGAATAAGGGAGGCGGGGGCACGAAAGTTAAGTCAAGACATGGATGGGCTCGTTCGTGAGGGTCCGATTGAAGCCGGTCCCAACGAGGGCCTCGATCTAGAATACCGCGATGGTCGGTAGAGGCTGAAACAGCGAACCGCCTTTGGTCTTCTGATCTGGCTTCGGAGTTGTTGAAGGACACTAGACTTGGAAGCTTTCGCTCAGGGGACGCTCGTATGTGGAACAAGGGCCTGAGCAGGTAAAAACACTTATGAATCCCACAAAAACCATGTCGGACGCATGCATATGGGTGTTTCGAAGCTCCAGAAGATCACAAGTATTGCCACAGCCTGGCCGCCAAACAAAAGTCACCTTGTTGGGAAACCAAAATTTGTGGTGTGTGAGTCACCGCAGCCCGGAAATGGTATGTAGCACAGGGATTCGAGTGAATCGAAACTTCCCTCCTTACCACCGGAGAGTGTCTAGCCGCAGCAAAGGCGCAGCACGAGTGTCCTTTCAGATGAATTCTTTGTCGCCGGGTTAGCATCTAAGAAACCAAGGGTACGAGATTGTCACTGATGATTTCCTGGCTCAAAATACCGTGGTTCAAACAAGGAGGATAGCAAACGTGAACCCAAGAAGATTTCGGCCTGCCAAGAGCTACTGTGCTACATGACGAACGTTTTCAATCCCGTCTGCGCGTCAGGACAAGTGCCAAGTATTTACCCGTGATCTAACAGGACTGGAGGACATCTCGTGTTCCGTAAAACAAGGGACCCATCATACCACCTACTGTAGGTGTGCGCCGAGGGTCGCAAAAGGCTGCACGCCTACGTGATTGACTTAAGAGGGCGGCCTCGCATCATCATCAGCTGGCACTCAGCTTTGCGGGCTATTCTATTCAACTTGGTTTCAATATTTGGACCAAAGGCACACTGCAACAGCAGTGTCAATCCACCCCGGAGTCGTCGTGGGCCCCTTTGCGAACCACTACGCGCGTTGCTTGGCATTTAATCAGCAGTGTTCGCGAGCAGAGTTTTGGGGAGGATGGCTCAACCGTTTTCTTCTTCTCGTTAACCCCTTTGGGTCTATTGCAGTTTTTTTTTTGCGGCAAAAAAAAAAGGAGGAGAGAGTGCGGCGAGGGAGACAAAAAGTACAGCAGAAAGAGACGAGTGTACTTCTGTAGACGCTACAGCTATCTCCACCCATAGGCCATGAGGGCTGCCCGTGACAGGACGGAGGGCACAGACAAGGGTCATAGAAGGGTTGATGCGTGGTCGCGGTGCTGCCGCTAGGGCAGGTTAGGCTTGTAGACCTCGACAAGATCAGTCGTCAAGCCGCCCAAACTACTCTATTTTCAGTATATTCAAATGATCAGTGAAAACGATCAGTGAGAGGGCTTGTAGACCTATTGCTATAGCTGGTTCTTGTACTTCTGTGCTTCTCTGTCCCCTCCCCGATGTGAGCCCTGCCGGCTCACTACAGCTCCTGTAATTTCCCCACAATTCCCGCAAGCACGAAAGTACACCAGCACACTACCTTTGCATCAGTGGCTCTCTAGGTTCGGGCGAGGGTATGGGTGGGGCTATGATGATAGTGTATGTGTTACTACAGCAGTACTGCTGTATGTTGGACTCGTCTACATCTACTGCTGCTGCTGTGTAGTATAGCTGCTGACATGATGACTGCTGGATCTTGGGAGTGTACGATTTTCAAATTTATTTGGAGGATACTGTATGCAGCACACCACGATGTCCTGGCCTGGTTGGGCTTGAAGTGCTCCTTTTCGCTGTCCTCCTGTCTTTGCGTTATTAGTGTGGCTTGCTAGATTCGGGCGAAGGCATGTATGTGGACCTATTGATGTGTGTCTCTGTGAAAGGATATGGGGAGATATTCATGGTGACATTCGCATTTAGAGCAGTGTGCATTTTTCGAATGTTGGCCGTTCCAGGGACCTATAGAAGCCGAAATCAAACCATTAGACTAGTCAGCGCTGACGAGTCTAATGGTTTGATTTCGGCTTCTATAAAAGTTAGTCGTGGGGTTCGTGAGCCCCGTCACTTTCACTTCCGAGG